AGTTGAATTCATGAGTCAATTGAAGTTAGACCATCATGAAAACCCTGAAAGCACTGAATGGCCGTTTTGTCCCAGTATGGGACTCCTCAGCAGTGCGCATCCATGATCTCGCCCCGCGAGATTCAAACCCAGGACCTATCAGTCTCCCAAGCGAACGCTTAACCTCTAAACCACGGAGTGGGCATCTAACGGTGTCAATGTCTAACTTCAACCAATCCATGAAATTGAGCCATTGCGGGAAACTGATAAGTCCTTGGTTCGAATCTCGTGGGGCGAGATCGTGGATGGATACTGCCTAGAAGCCGTATACCAGGACGAAACGCCCACCCACTGGTTGTAGGTTTTCTACGGTGGTTTAGCTTCAATTGACTCATGAATTCAACTTTAAAATTACTAAAATCTCCAAAAGACCCCTTTCTGATAATTGGTTATTGGCTATTATTAGAAATTCATATTTTCGAATTAGTGGGAAAAAGGAAACGAAATTGTTTATACAGATGTTTAGCTAGTTCGTGCTATTAGTTTTACTAAAGTAGCCATAAACCAGAATTTACATAAATTTCAGCTTATATATAGTAACTAGATCAAAGTTCTTCTGTGTGAAGTAAACCTTGCATTATTGAGTAAATGAAATGATAGGAATAACAGAAAGGTGTTAATTGTTTCATTGAACAAGTGTATGAATTTTAAAATACGTTAATTGTTATTGTTAATCGTGACTGATTTTCGATTCGTGTTTCTTGGTACAAGTTCATCCAATGAGGATTGCCTTGATATCGACATTTTACCGCATGTTTCCATAGAATAGACAGATTTGTAGCTTAAATTGGAATCCAGGATGTTCGTTATGTCCTACTTGAAACTCGTCATTTGGAGATACATCCATTCTATTGGTGATTCTCAAACTAAGACTCTAATCTATTACATATTATTTTAAATGCTTACTGTGCTACTGAGTCCAGGAGGAATCTTGCGTAAGCAACAGATTTAATATTTGTGTTATTATTAGGAAAATTCCTAATTAGTCCGTCTCAAGTAGGATGGAATGTGTATTTTGTATTTCAATTCTAGACACATGTATACTTATTCTATAAAAACAATAAACGGATCTCTAGTTTGGATGATGAAGTCAAACATGTATAAGAAAAAACAGTAATGGTTAAAGATAATCATATTTGACAAGTGTAATATTTTAAACAGTATAGTAAATAGACATATATTGTGTGTACGTGTAGATTATAAAAGCTACAATAAACCAAAATAATTTTTAAATTCTTATCTACTGTGAATGGTTCTTTTAAAATGATCCAAGAATCACTTCCTTAGTTTTAAAGGCGGCCTGCTTGAGCATCTGGGCTACCTGTTCCTGCCATCTAGATATTTCGACAAGTTATCTATCTTTGTTTGTTTTAATATATCATTATGTCTATTAATCGTACAACCTATTCTGCTGCGTTTCTGAAAAGTGTACAACCTTTCGTTGTCAAAGTTACAAAAAGCTCAAAAAGAGAGAATATTGTTGCTGGCAATATACAACGAAAAGAATGTACATTATTTCAGATATTCATTTACTGGACTGTTAACATCTAGTTGGCGATCACTCAGTATTTATCGCGAGGACCGACCAAGAAGAAAGAAACGGAAACTTGTTGAAATACTTTGTGCTGAGAATTCTATATTGTACCAATAATATAATATTGAATAAAGCTAATAATAATAATAAATAATAAAGACAAACCAGATTTCATTGGTCACTGACTAACAGTATTGGTTTCCAAAATAAATTTTCTGTTAGATGGTTAATGTTTAAGAAACTTTTTAACTCATAAAAAACATTGAATCTTCAACAAAAATATGTCTAGAGGTTAGGCGTACGCGTCCGAGACCGGGGGTTTTGGATTCGAATACCGCTAGCGGAATCGTGGTTGTGCACTGTTGAGGAGTCCCATAATAGGATGAAACGGCCGTCTAGTTCTTCTAGGTTTTCAATGGTGGTCTAACATCAATCGATTCACGATTTCAATCAAAAACGTAATAATTTCCACAGTCCCATACTGAAAAGTATATCTGTCTACGTCTTAATAATCTTAATGACAATCAAACCATAAGCATAAAAAAGCTTGGAAATAAACAAATAAAGAGCGTAATGACGAAATTATCTCAACACTTTCAGGATAAAAAACAAATATTGTTTAACCACTATGATTTCTCTTCATGTCACTTAAGATCCCCAACCAACCAGAACCATAAAAATATAAGCTTTAATTTGAAGTTTACAGTTCCTTGTATGGTTGCACTAAACATTTATAGACTGATATGATGATTTGGTCTAACGCTTACTCATCCTGTTTTGATCAACTTTGTTACTAGCTAGCATCATACATTACAATAGCGTATAAAAGCGTATACGTAACACAAAGAAATATAATTTCTTCAAGGGCAATGATAAACAAGGCAAGTGTACGAATACACAGTGCTTTTTGCAATAAGTCTAGCTCAGGTTCCGCAGTTATATATCCAAATAGATGATTTTTGAATAATAGACAAAGTTAAAATAAATGCATCTTTTTAAATATTATAAAATAAAAAGTAAAGATTGTTTTTAAAATCAAGTTGTTGCTGTTTTTGTTGTCAGAATGGTTTATTTGCAGTGTTTATCTAGAATCAGTTTAAATGTCAAATAAAATTGTGTCATTGACGCTTAAAAGAAATGAAGATAACATACGAAGAGAGAAATTATAATACAATAAACGATCAGATCGAATGTTTAGTTAACGATTTCGACATGCATAAAATTATGCGAGTTAAAATATCTTGAATAACATGATCTTTAATTTATTCATATTATCAAGCTTATAGATAATACGAAGACATGTAAATGATGATAATAACTATAGCACTTGGTTAAGAAAAATTTAAACTGGGAACTGAAGAAAGAAGGCTACGTGTAATGTATTAGGTTATCTTAGTATTCAAATGAATATTGACCTTTCAGACGTGATAAATCAAGTGAAATGGAAAGAAATGGATAAAATACTACTCAATCTCAAATGACTAATTATTTACTATTTTGGCTATTGTTTCTCCTGTTTAAGGGCTCTGAGTCTGACAGATTTCAGTAAATAATGGCTAACTCGATAGACTATTGAAAACGACCACTTTTTAGAAGCTATGTGGCTAGTTCGAAATAAATTGAGTAGAAATGACGTGCTTAGAGTCCTAACTGCACCTTTGCTTAGCTAGTCTCGAAGGCATTCATGAACATGAAAACAAAATTCTCTCACAAATAGGCTAAATCAACTTGTTCCGTAGGAGCAGTTAAATTAATGAATAAAAGATAATTATTCTTTCTTACTAAGGATCACCGTCGGTGCTTCGATTATGATGTTCATGTTTAAACGTTCTCTGAGCTGTTTTGCATATCATCCGGGTTGATAATTTACTGACCATACTTCCTCATTGCAGGCTCATTAGTGGCGAGTTCTTATTCATTGTTAGACAATATTATTAAAATCGTGCTGCATAAACATGACAGAGGAAAACAGGCATAAAAGTAGTTTAAGTAAAGAACCTAAACTGCTTTCAAACATAAAATTTAGTCAAAAAAGCTAAAAGAAACAGGAATAAACTCTGGTTTGTTACCGAGCAGTAACCAATCTTATGCTTATTTGATCTTCAGTTCAAATGGAATTTCACAATTACAACGTGCTTCATTAAACCTAACATCACATACAATATGCGTGTTTGTTCTTATCAACCAAAAATCTTAGTCAGTGGTGAATTGAATAGCATAGTTGAAACGTTTCTGACTAGCATTGTATGACACCACTCTAAACCTCATTAAAGACATTAGTTCTTTGAAAATTGTAGATACTCCTAGACTACGTTCAGAGTTTTTTCCAATTGTTTCTAACTATTTAACGTGTGAATTAGCTGATGAGAACCATAAAATTAAAGCGGTACAAGAATGAACATTAATACCATGATCATGTTCTGCATTCACAATGTTACAATACAGTGATCATAAACCGTTTTTTAAAAAATGTCATAGTTATTGTATATAAACAGAAGGATTAAATGAAGGTCTTCAAATATAATATGCTTCCAAGTTTTCCACGGTCATCTAGTTTTAATTGCCTCATGATATCAACCATTGGAATTACTACAATCTCCACAAAATCCCTTCTGATACTAATCAACAAATGCTCACTAGTGACTGGCGTCAACACGTATATCCTGGAGTTCTAGTGAGAAGTAGTGACCAGTGGAGTTCAAACGGGTCTGTTGTGAAATAGTAACTCACTGATGACAATGATGAATGTGTCACTCAATTTCGTGGATTAGTTGAAGTGAAACATTAACACCGTTGGATGCTAGCCGGCTCATTGGTCTAGTGGTTAATCGCTCACGCGCGATACTGATAGGTCATGGGTTCGGATTCCACGGAGCGGGATCGTGGATGCGCACTGCTCACGAGTCCCACAATAAGACAAGACGGCCGTTCAGTGCTTCTAGGTTTCCCATGGTAGTCTAGCTTCAATTAATTCATGATCTTAACTATTGAAATTACCATAATCTCCACAAAACCTCTTCTGATATGAATTATAATAATTAGTTATTTTAAAAATGACTATTGAGTTAGCATAAACCCAAATAAATTGATTAGTTAATATCTAAGATAAAATTTACGTATATCATGATTGGAAAATAAATCGTCATAAATTCTAAACTACTCATTATATAACATCAATATTTATTTGCAACCACTTGATTACTAGAGTACAACAATAAAATAATCATAATTCAACTTTAAATACTAGACATACTTGTAAATCAACTTTATATGTATATCTATATAATTAAGTCTATTATAACCAATCAGAATGCAAATGATAATAATATTAATTTGGTCGAATCATTTTTAAGAATTTCATTATATAATATTTAATTCTTTATTAATAATTACTTAAATTAAAATATTCGACTATACAAAATTAATACAAAAAACGTTTTTTTTGGTTGTCATAGCAACATTTAAAAAATAAAATTAAGCAACAAAAAAGCAAAAAGAAAAAAATTTTAATGAATTAAAATAAAAATTAAAAAAAAATCATGTTCAATTCAAAAGGATGTTTAAATCATCTTACAAAAGAAGAAATTATGGTATATACATTTCGTGCCTATGTATCACCAATATTAGTTATTATTGGTATTCCATCAAATCTTTTAGTGATACTTGTATTTATTATAATTGAATATCAAAAAACTTGTCGTTTTAATTTATATGCAATATGGATGTCTATTGCTCATAATATACAATTAATTGTTAATACATTAATTGATGATTTTTTAGGTCGTGGATTAAAATATGCAACACAATGTAAATATTCAATACAAGTTGATATAGAATCATCATTTCTATGTAAAACATTTACTTATTTAACTGATGCTTCAGCATTAATTGCTGCATTTATATTAATGTTATTTAGTGTTGATCGTGTTTGTTCAATTTATAATCCAAAACATTTTGAACAAAGTTCTCATGTGAAATTAGCGCATATTATTATTGGTTTTGTTATAATTATTTGTTTAATATTAAATATACCACATTTAATATTTGCTGATTTAAAAATTCATCCAATAAATAATTCACATGAATGTCAATATATTAATCCTGTTGCTGGTGGTGTAAAATATGTTCTTTATTTATATATTATTGGTGTAGCTATACTTCCAGCTATATTCATTTTTATTACAAATATTTTAATATTATATAAATTGAGTACAACAGTTTATCGATCAAAATTAATTGGTACTAAAGATGATGAATCAAATAATGAAAGGGGTAAAGTAATAGCACATTTAGCTATTAGTATTCTATTCACAAGTTTATCTATACCATTAGTGGTAATTATTATTTTAAGACAACAAGTATATTTTTACAAATATGATATATTATATCCAGAATATACTAAACAAATTGTACAATATTCAAAATTATTTAGTTCAGTTGATTCATTTAATCATGCTTTTGATTTTTTCTTATATTTAGCATTTATGCCAACATTTCGGCGTACATTAATGGATATATTTAAATGTAGAATATTTTTACGTAATGATCATTCAAATAAGAAACATCATCATGATAATCATATTGATGATAAATGTGAACAACAATATTTACATCATTCAGAACAAGAAATCAATATGCCATTTACTGATCAAGAGACAATGTCACTTTATTCAAATAAATTAATTTGTGTCGAAGATTTTTATTTAAATTCGAACAGTTTAAATTATAGTACAGATCCTATACCGTTTATTGATCAATATGTGAATTATTCACCGGAACATTATACAATTAAAACATTATGACAAAATGTTATTTTAGCAGGGTTTTTTGTGATCAAATGTTGAGCCAATTTTTAAAAAAAAAAACTAATATAACATTATCATTACAATTTAACTGTCAATCGTTCTCATTGTAAAAAGTGGTTATCCATACATATAAACATATTTTGGGTTTATTCAAATTCAATTAACATTCCTTATTTTTATCTAGGAAATGAATTGAATCAACTTTATAGAAATGTATATTGTATCCAAATGAGCAATATAAATGTTTCTTGTCAAAAAAAAGAAAAGAAAAGAAGAAGAAAGAAATACGATTTTGTTTCATTTGTCTTATGAATTACATTATTCCAACGATAATAATCAAACAAACTGAATAATGAAATTGTAAGAAAAAAAACAAACTATATATACTATATTTCACATTCCTTTTTATATACAACAATAGAATATAAAAGAAAATCATTGACTGAATTAAATGATATAGAATTAATTTATTAAATATTATTCATTTGCTTTAGTGATAAATATTGCTAATTTTAACAAAATATAGTTATATATCTATATACACTTGAATATTGAACAATATTTGAATGGAGGCTTGACAACAAACATAAAAAGAAATCAGTTATATTTCAATTAAACATTTTATCAAAATGTTTTTTATTTATTTCTTAAATGGTAGGTAATGCTATTAAACGATAAGAAGAAGAAAAAGAGAACAAAAGTGTAATACACCAGTATTTATAATAAAATATCGATTTATTAAATTTGAGAATAAAATAACCATATGAGCATATAGAAAATAAATTAGTATTATAATAAATATAATTTATTTTTTGTTTATTTAAAATGTATCAATCATTGATAATGAAATACGCTTTGATGAAGAACATTTTGGGGGTTTTTTTTCGTTGTACTTTTAATTGATTGATTTTTTTTGAAAAATTATTGATTTATTAAAAATGTTTGAATTGTTGATTAATGAATAGTGATTTACCGTAAAATATTGATTTTTATAAAATTATTTAGTAAAATGTTATCATGTTATAAGAATAATTCCAAATAGGAAAAAGTGTTTTAAGTAGTATGTTTATCATGATGTTTCTCAAAAAAAAAATTAAGTGAATTGGATGAGATTTTCATTTAGGGACTAAATTATAATACTGTTGTTTGTATGTGTAAATTATGTGAATTGTTAAGTTTATAGTTAAAAGATTCACCAATTCATTGATGATAACTACAAATATTAAAAGGTTAGAGAAAATATTATCTGTCACAATTTTGTTTGTCAATTTCAGCTCAAGTAATATGCTCAAAAACAGAAAAACTGGAAATAGTATATTGTTCTTGTTCACTTTTAGGTATCCTAGTTACTAGGTTGAATACTAATAGTAATAGTCTGAGCCCACTTCATGATGTTTTGCACGGCTAAAATTCTAATGTGATTTTATTTTTCTTGAAATTGATATCTCTAGAGATAGGTTTGAAGGTTTCCAATGAAATATATTGTTTTCTAGGTACTCTATCATATATGTCAAGTCTTTCTTAGTACTGACTGAACACTATCAATCCAGGTTCATCGATAGAAGTCGATTAACAGTAAAAAGGACTAGAAAAACATGATCTTGGTTACCAATCGGTGACCAGTCAGTTATAAATATATTTCTTTCCTACGGAAAGTCACCCACTGCCTGAACAACTTAGTGGTAACTTTTCTGAATAAGAATCTTGGTGACACGAGATTGAGTTCACCGTAGGACATTAATTCCCTCAATCGAGTAGAGCAAAATTTAAGATCAGGATTTCCTATCGACTACCCCTAAATGAATTATTTGCTTGACAATTTTTGTATGAACCATTTTTATGACATTTATACTATCTGTTTCAAATTCATTACTGTTTACAAAGCGTACAAAATGTACTTAGTATATATTTATTACTTGATCTTCTCGGTATTATGGATTGAACCTTGAAATATTTCTTTTACATATCTACAAAGATACAACTTTCTCTTCTTTTAACGTTTAACATTGATTTGTTAACTTCAGCCTAGTTTTTTAATTAATTTGAATAATCGTGAAATATTACGTATAATATTTTCTACTATCTCTTTTCATACAAGCCCTATCTACGTGTCCGAAGAAAATATAGAACACAGATTGAGTCGGTTTACATATAACATTAATATTTCTCTGAACTAAGATGAACAAGGAAACATATTCCAGAAAATTGAGCTGTATCATATCAACTTGTGCACTAGTGATGAAAAGATGAAGGCATTAATGTTAGATCATCCATGGCTAGACGATTCAGCACTTTGAATTCGGCATATCTGAAATTCACTTTTAACTCGTATGCTTTTAAAAAGTATGCCATCATATGTTGAGTCAAATCCATTAATTTTTATTATCAGTGTATTTAACCTTGAATTTCTCAACTGACTTTCAAAATGAAAAAATGGCGTTTCAGTGCCGGTGTCACATGATTGTGTAATAAATTTAGGTGCTGAAAGTCTGTCAACCCTTCCCAGTTTTAAAAAGTTTATTATTTCACTTAAATGTTATTCCTATGTATAATGAAATATTTTAAAGAGACACTTAGAACTCCAAAAGTTTATAGTAAAAGAAACACCTATCATTCGATGGCAATTTAGTCGTAGAAGTAAATAGAGGCGAAATATCAGTATGAGCTGACAAATATAGTAGCACACAATGTTCCAATGAACAGTTATGCAACTTAACAATGTCCGCAAAATATTTAAAGGTAAATTATCTGTAGTGGAACAAATACCTTGTAAAACTAAGACATTTTAGCATAAAAACGTATCATCCTTACTGAGAATTTTAAACTATCATTAATCAACTTTTCCAATACTTTGATGTACACATTTTGTTTTAATAAGTGAATTCAAAACTAAAGTTGTTTATTTAACTCATGATAAAATTTATATTGAATAAAATCATCCGTCTGGAATGAGATTTGTTTGTCTATTGATCACTTATTCAGCCTATAGAACTAAGAACCGTTATTACTATATTTGTGAGAGTAGTCCTTATACTGTATTGGACATTGGTCAGTTACAGTTTATTATACTTCTATTTCAATTTACTTTTTAAATATATATAAAATTTTGAATATCTATAATTTGCTATGAATCGTTTATCTAAAGTTTTCCTGTGAAACTTCTCTCTATGAATTAAATCCAATAAGAATTGGGGCAGCTATACATCTGTGATATAGGATAATGGTTATGCTATATGGTGAACATATTAAAACTGTAGAATGTAGACGAAAAATAATGCATGTTTATGATAACGCCTAAATGTTTGACCATTTGTAAAAAGAACAACGTTGACATTACTATAGAGATTCAGATTCATGTAAAATACTTATTGAAGGTTCTTTAGTTTGTTTCACTTAATCAAAGGTAAACACAACCTTTAAATCGAGAAAAGCTTTACGTGAGATTCTAATTAATTTATTCACTTCATATTTTCACCGTATAACACATTTAATTTACATTTAAAACAAATTAAAGTCATTTATTTAAATGGATTGCCTATTTCTCACAATTGATTGATCACTGGGTGGTGATCAATCTCATGCTTGTCTAGTCCTTATTAGTGCAGATCGAATGCTATCGATCATGTTGCAATGTGGCCACCAGTCTAGGTGACTCGACACTGCGGGCACTATGTATTGAGATTAGATGGTGGTTGGAGGTAGTCAACAGGAAACCCTGGACCAGGGTTTCGTGCTACTTGGCACTCGTCAGCAAGGTGTAGACAAGTATGACATTGATCACCACCCAGTGATCAATCAATTGTGATTACATCTCAGTCCTACAAGAGGTTAGTCACTGCTCGGATAGGTCAGTGGTAACGTCTCTGACTGTGAAGCTGGGTGACACGAGATCGAATCAGCCAGGGAGCACCAGTTCCCTCAAGATTACAGGTACACCTTGCTGACGAGTGCCAAGTAGCACGAAACCCGGGTCCAGGGTTTCCTGTTGACTACCTCCAACCACCATCTAATCTCATTGCCTATTTCTTTCAGTCCAATGAATATTACTTTAAAAACTTTATAAATTTTATTAATTATTGTCATCAGACTATTATATGATATACTTACGCAATACATTTCGAACAATCTGATCACACATATACTTGTCATTATCGAAAAGACAAGGTCCATGTTTCACCAAAGGCTAAACAGCATCTAAAGCGATTGTGTCACATCCTATTATGTCTATCAATTTACATGTATGTACGGAAACACGTACATAGGGAGGAGCGATCGTGATTTGCAATTAAGGGTGGATGAACTCATACCAAAATAGCTGCAGAAACAAATGAATTCCAATGGTCAAATAAGATCACATGATAGACAGACATCATCCTCCATTGAGAAAAGTTTGCTTGAAACTGATCATAAAATTGACGTCAAGTCAGCATTTGTAGAGTTATACAAAAGCCTTCAAGGACGTATACTAAGGTTTATTGAAGCCTTTGCTATACGGAAATCGAAACCGCCTTTATGCGTTCAAAAACAATTTGTCCTTACACACCCTGTTAATACTGATTTATTATCCAGAATGGTAATCACATTTGTCTTTGTATACTTTAATGTTATTTTTTTTCTTTGTTATGCATTACCTTTAACCTGTCTAGTTGACCTTTAATTTACATATAAAAATGTCTTAACAAGTATATGTGTAATCAGATTGTTCGAAATGTATCATGTAAATATATCATATAATTCTGATAAACTTCGTCTTCCCACTGCATTATCGAAATTTATCAAAGGGACTAATTGTTTTAAAATTAACTATTAATCTTATTATCACTTTGAATACTTATCTTATTCAGTCATAGAAATTAATATACATTAATATATAACAACTTGGTGAAAATTATTAAAATAGAACTATTCCATTTGAAGATGAGTAAATTTTATTGTAGTGAAACATTTACACTGATTTATGTTAACAGTAATCGACTTTTATTTATAAAGGAGGGTACTTTTTAAATGCTTAATTGTAAATTTATGTATAGACATTGTATTGTAATGGTCTTTGTGATGGTAGAAGCATAGTAATGAAGGAATAGAATAAGAAAATGAGAATTCAGAGAAAATTTTCTTTTCGAA